CAACCAGGTGCTACTTCTGATTTTTCCGAAAGAGATCAGAGCTGGAAGACCCTTCTGAAATCTTGCAGTTTCAAATTACCATTTTCTGGAGTGGTGGCAGTAGAGAAAGACAGGAAGAAAACTAGAAGCCACATAGAAAACTGAGCCAGGCTCTGCTTCCCCAAGGGACTGCACATGTCCAACCAGCAGCACCGCAGAAAAACAAGGAGAACTTGTTGTCACTATGTGGCAAGTCGTTTGCAAAAAAACTGAGACAGCTTCAGAGATAAAAAAACAACTCTTTTGCACCACAATCCACCACAACATTTTCAAAAACTAATGTATCCAATGATCATTTTGGACTATTGCTTTCAGTGTCTGTACTTTTTTCTCTTTAATATTAGAGGTTTAATATTAGAGCTGACTGTTCTCAGTGACAGCAACAGCAACTAGCTCTGCTGCTGAGCAAGCAGCTACTGTGAGAAGGTGTCTCCAAGTCACCGATGAGAACACCTTGGCAAGAACCAGCATGCTTTTTGTTCTGCACTTGCTGTGGTGCAGATTTGTCCTATTTCATCTCACCAGCAACAGTTCCTTGAACAGCTGAAGTCTGAAAACCATCACAGGTAAGTTACCTTGGCTTCCCACCATCTGCTATGGATGATGGACTTCAGAAGTGCTAAGGAAAAACTGAACTCAATCTATGTTGGCAAATATTTTTGTTGCATATATTTTATGCTTGCTATGCCTAAGGTATTTTTGGGGACTGACTCCACCCTCCAGAGAGGCGTTATCTCCAGTGCACCTCTCCCACGTGGATAACAGCAGTGTCTTGGCCACTGTCCAGCTGGTTGGCAAGCTCACCCTTATCGTCTTTGTCAGTGTCTCTCGAGCCAGATTCCTCTCACAAGCCAATGGTTGCACAATGCTGCTTAAATACTCAGTCCTGGGAAGAAAAAAACRATGCCAAATAGGATTATTCAAAGCCATGTATTTGTATAACTCCTCACTGTGGAGGGTTCACCACCTCGCAGGACCAAGCTAAATGAACAACTACAGTTCTACCAGTTCTCATTTTTAGAACAAGTCTGACTGACTGTTTTAAACATTTTTGCAGGGGAAGGTCCAAGGGGATGGCAGAGTGAGTCCCACAGCCAGGTTTGCTCATATGATCATGTCTCTCAGTAAGTCTTCAAACGAGTCTTGCAATAAGCTTTGAGAAACAGAKTTGCTATTTACTCTAAGATACGCCTTTACATATTTCTTCACCAATCCAATGGAATACTTAATGGAATATTTAAGGTTCTTATCTACAGAGATAATTTTCTAAAAGATCACTATGAGGAAAATGTAGACATCCATGGAGGAACAAAAGCCAAGGTGCACCTACMTCTCCAGATGGCAGGTAATACTGTATACTTTAATTTTTATCCTTTTATCATTCCCACCTCAGTAGAGAGCCACTGCTAGGCTGTGTTCTTCTCCCAGTTGCAGCACATGTGCACAAACGTGCAAACACATGCACACACAGCCCACAGTCACATMAGGGTTATCAACCTCATACTGCCTGTGATTTGCCACTTGTATTTCTACCTCAACTCATTTTCAAACTAACAACCATTTTACCACCGAAAGTCTCTAAACCCCCAAAGGTGGTTTTTTTCTTTAATTTTATTGACTTCATATAGAGAAAGAACCACTAAAAACACCCCCAGATCAAGAGAACAAGCTAGCAGAAATGCTCAGGGATCACACTATTCCTTCCCTGTGGGTTTTGGAGGAAACCAAATAGAGCTATTTATTTCTTCCAACAAATTAGTCCAACTTCAGGCTTCTATTTAATTTCTATTTAGCCACCATCTTAAAAGTAAGCATAGCATATATTCATGTAGGCTCACATTTTTTTTTTCCTTCCTAAAACAACTTTTGCTAGGAGCAATCTTAAAGGATTCCTTAAAGGATTATAGTCTATTTGCCATCAGCTCATTTCACTGTTCTTAAAAATGCTCTCTGATAATAGCAGTCAATTTATAGCAATCTCTTTTTCTATGCAGACATCATACAAAAGTTCTTAATATTTTCCAGCCAAGTCTCTTTACAGTCTGACTTGGGAGTGGTAGTAGGATGAGAGCCAAGGAATTTCCAGAAATCTTAAAAGTGCTAGTAAGTCATTACGGAAGCAGCACCAGGAATATTTGGTTGCTGAAAGTTACAAGTAGGACCATCCTGCCTCGGATTAGCAAATATTATCTATGCATCCCAGAAAAAGCCAAGGCTTCTCATTTCCTTATGCAGAACGTAAAGAAGAAGAAAGGAAGTGGTGTCCCCATTTAGGAACAAGCATAACTTTTCAGCATTCTTTGACCCCGAAACATTCTCTGCAAGAAACTGTTCTRGCTCCCACCTAAATCCATCACTCTGAGTTTTGGTTACATTTGTTTTACAGTYTAAAGATTATAGCTTGGTTAGTGTGAAAGCAATCTCTAGCAATGTTTGTAAATCRTACAGTAAAAAAAATCTGGAGACAGTATTGTGAAAACTGATTCCTTCCGAAACATTTCACGGCCTACAAGAAACACGAAGCCTTAACAATGGCAAAATTTCACTAGTCAGTCACCACAGAAGCTCGAATCGATTACACTGGACATGGACACTATAGACTTCTTCAGTGGGATTTCCTGGATGTCAAAATGGCCAGATCAGATGCTTCAAAATCATTAAGAAAAACCATATTTGGTTTGCAATAATTCCTCTATCAGGTTTCCTCCAAAATCCGCAGTCAAAGAGTGTGATCCCTGAATGTCTCTCCTGAAGTGTTCCTTTGAGTGATRAATGTTTTTAGTGGTCCTTCTTGGTTATAAATTCAATACTATTAAAGTAAAGCAAAACAAACAAACAAATCTCCATATAACCATACCTCAGGTTGAAAACATGGGCATTTATAGTAAGGCATTGTGACTCGGCCCACCACAGTACAATACAACAAGAMGTTTATACAAGAAAGCACAAGGCAGTCCTCAACAATGAAAACAAAGCAACAACTCTTCCTTTGGAAGGGAAAAATCCACTACTTCTGTATGGGCTGTTAAAAAGGAATAACTAGAAGGCTTTTTCCCCGACTGCATAGAAAAAAAAGATGCGGTCATCTTGGTAGAAATCATTTAGAGTTTCAAGTAATGCTCTTCTTAGAACATGTAATTCCTTTGCAGGATCTCTCAGAGGTGCTTCCAGCCTAACACTGTTGTCAGCCCCAAGCACTGTCACAGTTGAGATAGTTACTTTTGTATTTCATATTCTACCTTCCTATTTAGGCCTTTCATGGAGATCCTTCTGTGACTGGTTTTCTTATCATCAGGAGCAGGAGGAATCAGCACCAGGAAAGAAATGAAAACCATTTTTTTTTTCCTGGCAGTGAGCCATCTTCAACCTCAAGAATTCATAGCTCATTTGAAGACCCAAACACTCACTTCACACCTACCTCCTGAAGACAGGGAGGATTTCCATCTCTTAATCTCAAGGATGTATCTCTACATGTAATCTATCAAACCATCTCAGCAGATGCAGTTAGTAGGAGTTCAAAACTGCCATCTTACCCTCCATCCACATGAGGTAACGTCAGCGTGGTGACCACACTGTTCAGAGAGACCGCAGTGCGCTCACATGAAAGCAATGGTTACGTGCTCCTACCGGGACAGTGGCTAACACAGGAGGTATTTGCTAGTGCGGGTGTATGAGAAGATTTTATAAACTCACCTGGGCTCCAAAAGTCAGACCTCGCCTTCTTTTCTCAGGCTGTCAGTGCAGTGCGTTCGAGGCGGCTATCGCTTACCTGCTTACTGACAGATTTCAGACCCTACTCAACTAGAGCTTGCAAGAGAAAAAAAAAAAAAAAAGCAACAAAAAATGCCCATTACTAATCTCCATTAATAACTTAGATAATGGGCCAGAGTGCTCCCTCAGCAAGTTTGCAGATGATACAAAATKGGGAGGAGTGGWTGATTTGCYWGATGGTTGTGTTGCTGTTCAGAGCGATCTCAACAGGCTGGAGAAACGTGCCAACAGAAACCTCCTTGAGCCCAAACGGAAGCACAGACTCCTGCACCTGGGGACAAAGAATGTCTTAAACAGCGCAGACTGAGGGCCAAATTAGCTGGAAAGCGGCTTTGCAGCAAAGRACCCAATGACCATGGTGGACAACAAGTTGAGCAGGAACCACATTTGGATCCTTGTGGCAAGGAGGGCCCAGAGCCTCCTGGGCTGCATGAGGAAGGCAGTGGCCAGCAGGTCAGTCCCCTCTGCTCAGCACTGGTGAGGCCACCGCTGCAGTGCTGGGCTCCCCCATACAGCAGTGACAGGGACCTAGCGCAGTGAATCCAACCAAGGGCCCCAGGGATGATTAAGGGACTGCAGCATCTACTAGGCGGAGAGGTTGGGAAAGCTGGAACTGTTTTGCCTGAAGACAGGCTCAATGTGCATAAATATTTTAGGAGAGGGAACAAGGACAACCCAGGGCATTYAGAGAAATGACTTCCAGCATCAGTGATTATGTGCAGTTGAGAAGTATATCACCATAGGGATATTTTCTAGCATAGATTAACAGGCAAGATGCTGCCTCTGGTAAGACAAATTTGATCACAGTGAGAAGCTGCAAATCTCACTAGCCTCCCTGCTTCACACTCCTAAGAACAGGAACAGACCTGCAGAGATACTACAGATTGTAAGAAGGGAGGCTGCTGGCCTCCAAGGGAGCAGAGCTTGATTCAGGCTGCTCATCTGTATGTTCTGCCTCCCTCCTCCCTGCACACCCCTTATTTTATAGCGAGAAGTGTGGCTGGTGGGGTATGGCCTTCATCCCCCTAATGAAGAAGAGTGAGGGATCTGCAATGCAGTTTAATTAGTGCCAACAGTTTAATTAGTGRTTCAGCTTTATTACCAGCAAACAGTGCAATGTACATACATGCTCATTTTGCTCAATAATTTATTCTCCTTYGGTAGAAAAATAGTTCTGTGTAAGCTTTATTACCTGATAAACGTCACTAATTGCATAGACAACAAAGGCAGTCTCCAGATCAACATGAAAGACAAACACACCTACATACCCTTTTCTCCATTCTATCCTTTCATTTGTTTGCATAAGGAAGAACTTTCTACAGTCTTAATTTTCAGGTATTACAAGTACTGTGACAAGAGAGGGGATTAAGCAGCAGGTGCTTAAATGACATTTAAAATATAATCTTCCTTTTTCTTCCTTTGGATTTACCCAAAGTCAAGGCAGGCTTTTAGTTTTCCAAGTAAATGGCCACTGTTAAAGAGGGGGAGGCCTCCTCAGTGTTTGTCCAAAATAAGTTTTAAGAGAAAAAGGTAAAATTCTGTATATGCAGGGCAATCCCCTCAAATCAGGGGAACAAAACATAACACTAACTCAAACTACAGTTGTCTATAGTGATCTCATTCATGTCATGTCTGTCAGCATCATTSCTTCCTGGAATGATTTCCAAAGGAGCTATGATTACGCTATATAATATCTTTGCTTTCAGTAGCTCGTTGTCTTACCTGGGAAGATAGCCAATACACCTATAAGTGGTGTAATTTGCTTAGGAGTGGAGAATTTAAATTTGTTCTTAGAATATTGCACTTAAAAAATAGAAAGACACTGTCCTACTCCACAGATGTAGTCATTAGCATTTGCTTTAAAAATAAATTAGACAAAAAGTACATTACTAGCACAAATTCATCATTTACATTCATTTTTCCCCAAACATTCAGTCATCTGAGTCCTGAGATACCCTAAACAATTAACCCCATTAGTGGTTAGGCGCCGATGCAGCCATGGTTTTCGCTTCAAAGCATCCGTTTGTTGCAGTTGATTTTTACACTCCGCTGTTCCCGGAGCCTCTGGAGCCCCTCGGTTCAGTGCGGAGCTGGGAGAGCTCCAGCGGCGCCGCCCCACGCGGCCCTGGAGCGCCGGCGCCCTCGCTGCAGCCCCACAACTGCCCGCGGCTTCGCGGTCCCAACGCCCCACACAACTGCCCAGTATTAGCTCAGGATGCAGAGGCTTAAAGCTGTTCTAACCAACATCACCAAGGCAACTCACTTCAATTAATTTTCCCCCTTGCAACGAGGTAAAAATAAATCATTTCACTGGATTAAGTGTATATACATATATATTATATATAAGCTTGTGTCAAAGCTGTTAAGAGCTAATTGAAAAGGCAAATTTCCTTAAAAGCCATTACTAATAAACTGAGGCATCTTAAGTCCACAGTTTTAAGCAAGTAAACCTTTCCCACCACCAGCCTTAGCAGAGTTCCCTTTAGAGCTGCTGAYACTTCATTCCTGCACTGTTTTCAGTCCTTCTTCACTCGACCTCTGAAGGTGTCCATGAAGTGGAGAGCTCCAGCRAAGTCTCCAAGGAGAACACACGCTTTCACAGGCAGCACGCTGAGGTGACAAGAGAGGGGGAAAAGAAAAAGAAAACACAAACAGATATGAGAAATGTTGTGCATTTTATCACAGAAATCTTTCCATCTGGCCCACAGGCAAGTGCGTGTACCCTCTATGCTACAGTACCATTGGGTGTCTCAGAGCATCTATTACACTCACTTTGCAGCCTTAGTTGTTAGATAGATCAGGTCCCCAACCTGGCTTGCAACAGAGACAGAAGTGCCCCAAGGATGGGGCGAGAGAGACCAGATCTGCAGTTAGGGTGGAGGAGACCCAGGCGACAGAGCCCACAGCAAAACTGCACCCGGGTGGAGGCTGAAAGTCACGGGAAGTCATTTCTGTCACTGCTCTGTGGTCTAAGGATAGGAGGAACCCCTAGAAATTAAGAAGAAAACTCCAGGAGCATGTAGAACTTACAAAAACAACAACAAAAAACAAACCCTAAAAGAGTCATACTGTCAAGTTACATTTTTGGTCAGACTTTAGCTGCAAGATCATTTGACAAGGGAAAGAAAAGAGGAAAGGGAAAAGCAGAGGAAAGGAAAGAATCACAGAATCTTACTTTTTCAACGCAAAAAAGAAATACAGGCTGCGTGGTAATATCAGAATTTCCTGGTTCTGTCGAATAGCAGTGATGATCTTTTCAGCTACATACTCTGGTTTGAGAATGGGGAGTAGACGTGGCCACCTGGAAGAGAAGGAATTTGCAATTACACCACAAGCCATTCTGAAATCCAATTTTAAATTTAAAAAGTCTCAGTTTTGCAGATATTTGATTAAAAGAAGAAATAAATCCTATGAAGAGAAGGGCCTTAATTACATTATCCTGAGAAGAATAAGAGGCCACTGTCATTTTCACTCTGCATCATGTCCCCCAAGGGGAACAAATACAGTCCTGCTATTAAGACACACTAGGCTTTTATTTTGCTCCTCMGTTTGTGATTACATAAGAATCCAGAGCAGAGCTGCACCACTGACTTCAGGATCTGAATGGGGGTTTAGAAAGCCAGAAGGATAAGTGGAGCATTTGGCTTGAGCAGAGGAAARGACTGTGGGGAAGGAACTGATTTTGTGTTTTATGTTTCCATTTAAATGAATGGTTAGGTATTACTGGACACTTAAGTGGCTCTGTCATCATAAAGCAGAGCTAACATCCATGTGAGAACCTAAAAATCATGCAAGCAGAGCAAAGTCTAGTTCCCCACAGGAAATACAAGCAGGTAGCATGCTAAACATACAAGCTGCATAAACAGCTAACAAAAGCTCACTCACTTGGTCTGACAGCCATCAAACATTCCTGTGCTTATGAAGTAAGGACACACAATTGTGGTTTTAATGCCAGTCCTTCCCAGATCTTTCATCTCTAAACTAATTGACTCTGCAAACCCAACTGCTGCAAATTTGCTTGCACAGTAATCTGTAAAACAAGTAAAACATTAAATTGAATTAGTAAATGAAAATGCTTAACCGCAATTATTAACCAGCTTCAGTGGGTCTTAACACTGAGGAACTTCACAAGGACAGTAACAGCTTTTGACACAGAAAAGGACACAACTACGGTCTAACAAAGAGTGAAGTGAGCAGCTACAGCAGTGACATGCAACAGCAGCACCATGACATACAAGTAATCTACTATTACAGGACAGTTTTGTGCATGCCCTAAGTACTTTACAGCAGAGCAAGGACCATTTCTGTGGTTAGGGTTTTGCTCACACTTGGTGTGGTTTGCTCTGTTACTTTTCCCTCCCAAGTTAATGGCCATCACATACTGGCAGACAAAGAGGTTTCTCTTCACAACCTTGCTAGCACCTTTCCATCCTCTACTGAACAACAGGAGATGAAGTTTTGTCTTATTGGACCTTACCTTTGAATCTGCCCACTAGCTTCTTATTTAGTGCATCAAACTTGAKCTTTCAAGGCTCTTTGTAACCTGGTTTCAACTTGCAACTCCACTTGTCTTCATTATCATGGCCCTAAAGATAATGTAGCTAGATTTCTTTCCCTGCTGTGCTACTTTATTTCATACTGCTCCTCCTTTGCACGCATTTTCCTGTAATTTCTTCTCAGCTTGTCCTAATCACAGCACTTTCTTTTCTGTCACTGCACAGATGCTATGGAACGCACTTCCAAGAGCCATGGGATGCAAAATAGGCTGTCTCACCTCTGCTATTGCACGACGTCCAGCTTTGGGCATTTATTTCAGTCAGGGAAGCTCGTACAGAACCTCACTTAAAGTGAGAGCACACTTGCAAAAACACCAATCTCTTCCCATCAGTCCCTGCAGGTTAACTTTACAGCATGCCCCGGGGATATCAGTTTCTTAATGCCTACATGAAGCTTCTCGATCCTCTAACTACCTTAGTGAAAAGCACTACTCGTCTCTTCACAGTAATGCTGAGCATCAGAATTCATCTTTGAAAAGAACAATCTAAACTAAGTGGTCTGAAAGCATGAACATTAGTTAAGCATACAAGATTCAGAAACACAGACCTGAGGGCAGGCAGCAGGGGAGCACAGTTTAAGCCAGGCACATTTCCTAAGCAAGCACAGGTTTTATGATGCTCACCTGCGAGCCGATTGACTCCGATGAGCCCCGCTGAGCTTGCGATGCTGACCAAGTGCCCGTGGTTAGAGGCCATCATGGCAGGCAGGAAGGCTTTGTAGGTCTGTGGGGCAAGTGAGAAGGCAATGAAATATTTCACTCAAAAAGCGACAAGTTCAAATATTTTGATGATAGTTTAGAGGGAATTTAAAATTGCAGTTAGAATTATTTTGTTCCTACCATTAAAGAGAAAAAAAAAAAAGGAGTTTGTTGTTTCAACTCGGCATCTGCTAAGCTGTCACCTAGATAGATACAGCTCTAGCTGGCTGACTCATTTTTTGAGCTTTGGAGAGAAAAAAAATTTAGAAATTTAGACATTGTCTGAACATGTGGTATTTCAGATTGAAACTATCATAACCCTAAAGTAACTAGAACAAGGACAGGATTGACACGTCTCTTACCGGAGTAGTAACTTCTGAGCTGGGCCTGTATGATATTAACACCAAGGAATCTGACACACTAACTACAGGATTTAGCTGAATATAGAATATTCTCAAAAGCAGTTTCCTTCCACCTACCTACTACCCAGAAGTTTCCATGAGATCCATCCTTCAACCCTTTATTTCAAGGGCTCTCAGGCATGAAAAACAGTTTCTTGTATCATTTCTGATTGAGCTTATAGGGAGCTAAATACCCTTCCATATATTCCTCAATTCCAAAAGGCAAAATTAACCCTGAAAGCATGTTAAAAGGGAAAAACTAAGTATGTTCAAGTACAGGTATTACCCAGAAGTGTGCCATTATGTTCACCTCCATGGTTTTTTCCACCAGGGAATCTGGGCACTCCATAAACCTCTTTCCAGTCACAATGCCAGCATTGTTGATTAGGATGCCAACATCACCAACTTCTTTTTTAACCTACAACAGAAAGCCACAAAATGTCATGCATGTATCCACACTATAATACAGTACACACCTTCCAAGGTTTTCTTATGAAAATAAATGAAAATATAAAAAAACAATTAAGCTAAACTTTTATTAGGCCTGTTACAGACCCAGGTAACTCTGGCTCTCCCACATTTCTGCTGGGACCTGCACATTCTGGGGATGTGGAGCCCAGCAGCTCCATAGCCCCAGGCAGGCATCTGGTTTCAACACTGCTTGTTCTTTTTATGATTGTTCCAAATGGGAGTCTCCACTGCAGCAAGTCTGTCTAACACAGGAAGTATTTTGCTACAGCAGAACCTTTTAAAACCAGGGAGCCATCCTGTTCTTAGGATTATTCCTATGTCGCGCCATGAAGCACAGTGCAGAGAGCCCCAAGCTCCTTCCAGCAGGAGCCCAGACCTCRGGCCCCGCAGGGGCTGCAGGATCAGGCTGCATTACACTCAAATCCTTCCCCATTTCCCAGGCAGTTGCTCGGGTCAGAAGGCAACGCAGCTCGGCAACTTCCAGAGCGCAGCCGGCTCGCACAGCCCTTGGGCCTGCTGATGGAAGAGGAGTCTCCTGCATTTCCCGGGGGTGGATTGACTGCTCGTGTCCCGAGGGCCCAGGAAATCGTCTCTCCCATTGCAGAGGGCAGCAGCTACTTAACGGCATCTTCATAGTTCAAGTACCTCTTGGTGCTCTTTTCCCACAGGCTCTGCTTCCCATGACTACAGCCTATAAACACTAAGATGTTATTACACAATAGTCCTTCATAATTTCTTCTTATGACTGTGTTCTTTATTCAGGTATTTTGATAACTGCAAGTGGCTTTACAGGCAAGTAACTTTTAAAGGGTTCTCTTACCAAGTTTTGGTTAAGATCCCTTGGAAGAACATCATGGTTCCTTTCGTATCAGCTCTCAAGACAACACAGGAAGTGAGAAAATGATCTGAAGATCAGCATTTTTTTAAACAAAAGCAACAAAAGCTTTGTGGTTTTGCACAAAAGATTCTGTTCATGTTCTTACAGTAAAGCTGACAGACCTTAAAGTGACACAAACATTGACAAAAGGCAGAAATCTTAGGAACTTTCTTGAGCAGGGAATGGCGCGTGGGTTTKTCCTCTCTGGTGTGTTTGCTTTGATCCTAGCACTGTTCCAGAACCTTTAAGATGGTTCCCAGAGCTAAAGTTGGCCAAAGAATAGTCTGGATGCATTCAGTTCTGAGAGGGAAAATACAGTTTTCATTTCAGGTCCAGAGCGAGAACTCTTGTGCTGGCTCCCTGGAGAGGATAACTAAGCCATCTAACACGATCAAGCTTTTGTGGACAGAAAATGACCATTTTTAATGCAATATTTGAAGTGTAGATCATTAATTTAAGCTATTCTGGGAAAAGAAAATAACTTCCCTGTTATTGTTTTATCTGCAACTTCCAGCTCGAGTGTGACCAGCTGCTGCAGGGAAACTCCTTCTTCCTGTGCGGCCCAGGCACAGAGCTCCAGACCGGACCCTCGCTTCCTAACGGTGTCTCCTGAAGGGTCTGAGGGAAACATGGGCAAAACCAGTAGCAGAGCCTTTGTAAGGGAAAAGGATTGAAGAGATTTATCACAAATCTCTAGCTTAACCTTATTTTTCTTAAGTTTGTCTTAWATCTCATCTATGTTTATTAGCTAGCTGTCCATCTAAAAAAAAWGCAAAGCAGCCTTGCTAGGGTTATTCAGACTCACTAATTATAACGAATACAGGAGCCAGAGGTCTCTCTGGTCACTGTTTCCACAGGTGCTTTTCTTTTTATTTCCCTCTCCAGAAGTCAGGATGTGACAACTTAAAYCTTTCTGAAGCAGCACTGAGATCTCTACATGCAGCCTTAGTCGAGCTGTTGCACTCTCCATCAGAGCCTGAAATGCATCCCATGTTCAAAACAGCACACATTCAGGGGCATACACGTAATCATGAGCCAAAGGTGCACTGGTACTGCCTCTTGCCAGACCATTAAGTCATTCCAGAAACCTGGACCAGTATCCTGGACTCTCCCTTTGATGCAAATCGCTGTTTACACACGTACCTCCTTATGCTCCTCTGCACCCACAGCAGTGCCACCTCTGTCCCTACGTGGTACACTCAGTTTGTAACTTGGTTATTGGGATATTTGGGTTAGATGGAGGAGATGGAAACACCACCAGAAGAGTGAGAATTAGTGCAAAACCTCAACTGYCCCAGCTCTGACTAGCAACAAAGACATGAATGACTTCTCTGCTTCCCTGTGTTGAAGAGACAGCTGTTTCTACCCAGCTTCCCAAAGGAATATTCACACATTGGACAGAATTCAAAACAGATGCAAGTGCCTTCTTACAGCCCASACAGACACCTCAGGCCTTATACCACTTTAAGCTGCTTTCCAACAACCTGGATGCGGCAGCTCCTCACCGAACAAGGCATCTGTTTTAGCTGCTTTCTCCTCCTCTCTCCTTGTGCACAAGGTGGAGAGCTAAGAAGTGAGCTCGGCTCCCACATCCCACCTCGAGCTGAGCACAGGAATCAAAGGATTGAACACAGGAACACAAAGTCCCTTCCCCAGCTAGAGAGTYGGCAATAGTCAGCAGATAAGGCTGGCCTTGCAGAACTTTACGTTTCCCCATTGCACAGTGCAAGCAAAGGTGGTCCAGGTGTGTTCACAGCAYTGAACACACCCACACAGGCCTAAACCAAACAGCCCAGCCTGTTAAGTGTCTTTTCTAAGCGTGGGTACTGCCTCCTGCTTGTTCTCACACTTGTATTCACACTGTCAATGCATGTTTGCTAGCGAGCCATTCCCGTGATTCCCAGACAGCATCCCAAGGTGACTGCTGCCAAAGAACTGGGACTTCCCTCCCTTCCCCTTCCAGAGCCACCTGGAAGGGGCAGGAATATGTGAAGGGTAAAATATGACTGGGAAATGCATTCCTGGTGGGCATAGGGGCAAAAGTAAAGTGAGTGCATAGAGAAGTGGAAAACTGGCTGCAAACTGACAGCCCGGACAACAAGCCAGGGCAGTGCGTAGGCAAAGCAGCAGAGTGCAAGGGAGAGCCTGGAAGTGAATGTAGGCCCAGAGGTAACTCTGCAGCTCCATAGCGAGGAAGAGGCTTCTGTTTCCTCACAAAGAGGAGACTGAAAATCCTCCTTTGGGAGCCTGGAGCCTGCAAGCTGTCCCGGCTGCGCAGGGCTGGGGGAAGGCGGGTTTCCTCCGTGGGTGGGGTGCTACTGGAGGGGACATCACAAATCAGCTTTAAGGTATAGCTTGTACAGCTACGAGCTTTCCTTCCTGCAGTGGGTGCAGCAAAGGATGGAGGACAGCACGTGGCCAGAGCTCTGGGGTTTCCTTCTCACTGAAGTGACTGGTTTTTTTGTCCCCAAGTGCTATGGGACCACACAGTCCATGTGGCTGAAGTGCCACAGCGGGTACTGCTAAGCTCACGTTCATTTTGTTTGGGCTCTAGGACTGTGTGGCTGGGCACAAAGTTCTCAACAAGATCCTGTCCTGCCTCTGTCAGTTCAGCTCGCTACAGTCTCACAGGACCAAGTTACCGTGCCCAGCTGAACCCCAGGAAGCCCCTCAGGCTCAGCCTGCTTCCCCTCCTCTCACAAAGCACAGCTCAGTGCATGGGGGACCAGAGCCTCCAGCTCCCTACAGCAGCAGTGGCACTGCCACCAAGCACCAGCTCATACTAAGGTCTCACTGTTACTAGCTCCATGGGGAAGGTGCAGCTGGCTCTGCACCAGCTGTCAGCAGGACCCTGCTCTGGAACAGTAGCTGGCCGTTTTCTTCCATATAGATCAGCCAAAATGAGTTATCTGTGGATTTTCCCAGYGACTGGCGACAGCATTAGTTCAGGTCAGGAATCCTGCACTGACCATGCAGAGACCTTCTCGCCGCTCCAGTCTCTCCCCTGTTTTTATCATGCCTAGCCATAGCACATGCACATCCACAGGCTCTCCCTCCCTTTTATGGTTGTCCAAATAATGTTTTGATCTCCACCTTCTCAACGAGACCCAAGCACCAGCCCTTGAGTCCTCAAAAGGGAAGGTTTCATCTTCGAGCCCTTCACACAACCACTCCTCCACCTCTGCAAGAAGTCTACAGGCCTATAGAGAAACACATACAGCTGATATGGAAGAGATGTAACTTAACGGGCATAAAGGAGCAGGCAGGACAGACCAAGCTCTAACAAGCTGCAGGTCACATGCAAACTTTTCCTAGCACAGATTGTTTTATGGTCATYCTCACACAGGCAGATTCCCAAAGATCTGAGGCACTCACTCACTGTGGAAACTTCCCAGTCCAACAGTGAAGTTTAGCAATACTCTGAGCAAGAGAGAGCAGGTTGTTATAATGGAAACGGAACAATTTTAGCTTTTGGCAYATCTAGTGTACCCAAAATATATAACCATATGCTTGATTTCTAAAGCACTTCAAAAAGGAAAGCAAAAAATATTTAAGCTTTTGAGATACTTATTAACTCTCTTAAAGTGCAATTACAAAATTTATTGACAGAGTTGGTCTAAATTTGCCTAAAATAGTCTAAATTCTTAAAACAGGTAGCATATCCAGTGAATTCAGTACCAATTACCTTTAAGCTGCTACCTTGAAGTCTCTTTAACTTGCCTCTTTAACATACATGCATACATACAAATCTTAGAACAGCATCAAGGTCAAGGATGAAGGACTTACCTGATCTGCTACTCTGTAGACTTCTTGACTTTTGCTGCAGTCACAGATGTAAGACTGTACTCTTACTGCCCCATTTTCTTTGGCCAGTCTACTTGTTTCCTTGAGCCCCTCTTCATTAATGTCCCAAAGAACCAGCGTGGCACCAAGGCGGGCAAATTTTATAGATAAAAGTCTTCCGATTCCGCTTCCCGCTCCTGTTATTAACACTATTTCACCTGCAACGCTCTTCTTCCGTTTAGGTATGATCAAGAACACCAGGGACTCCAGCAGGTAATAAAATGTAAGTCCGATAACTTTGAGCAACTCCAGGAAGAAGTTCATCTTGAGGCCGTTTTGTCAGATGCTTAATGAAGGAAATGTTTACCAGCTAGGACAAACTACAAAGAAAGAGCATGCAATCAACGGAAGTATTTTAGAATTGAGAAGCATTTTCAGATCCAGTTTAAATATTCCCTCCRGCCTGATGTTAGATGCTTCAAAACACAGGGACTTGCATCTTCTCGTCTGGCCTGCAGGATGTTCCCACTCCCCTTCAGAAGGCAGCACAGAATTGATTTACCAGGTGGCAGAGGCAAGAAAACCCTCCATTCATCTGCTTCAAAAACCCATCACACACAGAAGGCTTTTGACACCGTCTCCCATAACAKGCTCACAGGTCAGGAAGCCCCGAAGSGCAGGCTCAATGGTGCACAGTGAGGTGGATGGAGAACCGGCTGAAGGGCAGAGCTCAGAGGGTGGCGATCAGTGACACCAAGCCCAGACAGAGGYCTGGAGCAAGTGGCATCCCCGAGCAGTGTCCTGCAGCTGGGGAGGAATAACCCCAGGCACCAGCACAGCTTAGGGGTTGACCCTCTGGAAAGCAGCTCCATGGAGAGGGACCTGGGAGTCCTGGTTGACACCAAGTTAACCATGAGTGAGCAGTGTGCCCTCGYGGCCAAGAAGGCCAATGGGATCCTGGCTGCATCAGGAGGAGTGTTGCCAGCAGGTCAAGGGAGGGGATCCTGCCCCTCTCCTCAGCTCTGGTGAGGCTGCACCTGGAGTACTGGGGGCAGTTCTGGGCTCCCCAGTATAAGGGGGACGTGGAGCTTCTCGAGAGGGTCCAGCGGAGAGCAACAAAGATGATTAAGGGACTAGAGTATCCCTGCTCCAGATGCAGATGTTCTGCATCTTCTCCTTTTAAGGAGAAGCCAAAAAAAAAGGAAAGCCCAGCCTGGAGAAGAAAGTATTAGAGAAGTGGAACAGGGGAAAAATCTTATCAATGTGTCTACGTATGTGACTGGACAGTGTAAAGAACATGGACTTCTCCCTTAAAAAAAAGGTTACTGCTGAAGCATCTAAAGCAGAAGCACACAGTAATCCCAAATCAGAGGTGACAGCAATCAACTCTAGCGCTCATAAACTAGTAGTTTAGGTAATTATTTAAGCTCAGAAAAATTTTTGCTTAAGGCTACTATTTTTTGCTTGCAGTGGGTCCTTATTATTAAGGAATCATATGCAGATGAAGGCACAGGCTCAACTTTGTACCTTGTTTAGAAACTACCAGCTTAGGGAGCTTCAGAATTCAATGATTTATAAGACTCTAAAATACACCAGGTAAATTATTGGTTGTCACCAACCAGCTTTTTAATTACTACTTAACAGCAAAGGCAGGCTCTCCTTCACAGTACTGTGTTTAGACACACACAGTAAAGCACTTCCCTCTCCTCACCACCCTGACCTAAGCACAAGCTACAAGCGTGAGTCCTATCAGCTCAGCTGACCTCTAACTTTGCCACCTGGGCTCATCACAACAGCTCTGACACTGATGCAYGGAGGAAACGCTACCCGTTCCCCAGAGCCTGCACGTTAGGCAAGAAACACGGCCTTGATCAAAGCCAGTCTTAATCTTTGATAAGTGCAGTATAAAGGACTAATATCTCCTTTCTCAGGTAAGGGCACAGTGCACTGGAGTTTACACTTCAACCTTTAGCACCACGGGTCTAATTTGATCCCATCTGTTAGTTAACGTTGCTCTGTGTACACAGGTAAACGCGCTTGCGAAGCACCAGGAGATAGGAGAGCCACAGACCTCAATCTCTGCCACACTGAGCAAAGTTTATCAAGTTTAGCGTGTGCTATACACAGAACATACAGCAAAATGTAAGTAACAAGCCTTAGGTTTTGGTACACAGCAAGCAACTCCGTTTCCATATGGGAGGAGCAGCTACTGAACTGGGCAGGCCACTTCAGAAAAATCTCCTGACAATTGCATTAGAAAAATCTTAACACTCTTCTGCTAACAGAAAAAAAAAAAAAAAAAAAAAAAGTGTGTTTACCAAAAAGCACAGTGGTTTGGGAAACAGGTTCTTCCTTCTGAAGATCACTGGTCATATGGTAAGTACTTAATTGGTTAGTTCCCTTTAAAATAAAAGATGTGTGTGCTGAATTCTGGCCCAAATAAGGGATAGTAAAACTGATGAGAAATGAAAGTAAGAAATGAAAGAAAGACCAAGGCAAGAAGGCACCATTTTTCTAGGGCTAATATTGACATTTTCTGTAGTAGACTGTCACAGCTATGGCACTTCTACAGAAATAAATAAAACAAGGCTTCCAAAGCAGGGGGGGAAGAAAATAATGTGATTTAATGTGATTCAGAAAAGGGGGAAGAGAAAAAAAMCAAGCTTTAGGAAACACAAGTTCTTTGCTGGGTCTAAGACAGAAGCAACAAAACCTTTAAATCAGATGGAGATGTTAAGTTTAACTTATATCTAAATCACACTAATCTAACTAACACAACACTTTCTTCATTTGGGTGAAAGGTGATGGGTATCTCCTCCTAGCTAATGATGTTAAAGGTAAACGTCATGAAGTCCGTAATCCCTRTGAAGCAGAGGAAGAGGTGCTTGTTTTTGGAGCACAATACACAGCTCAACCTGCATTCACTGGAATTTCAGGAGCTCTTACCCACGAGTTTATTATGCGGAACATTTGTGCTCTAGCCTAGCACATGACAGAGGCGCGTCGGAGCCTAGAGATGCGGCTGCTGTTGACGGAGACATTTTTGGTCTTTCCCGTTAGCGCAGCCCCTCGGCAGCCCCCATGGACACAGGGGGCTTCGCTGCCATTAATCCACGTGCCCCTAGCCCTGGTTTCAGGCTCTGCTCCTCACCACGCGAGCAAGGCCGGTTATGGCAGCAGCAGCCACAAGGAGCCAACATCTGCCTGGTCTGGGCTCCTCAAACAAAGCCTCCAGGAACCTCTTCACAGCTCTGTTGACCAAGGAAACCTTGGGCACTGCTACAGGATGAGCCCCTGGATCCAAGCCACAACCCTGCAGKGGCACATGCTGCCTTTAACACGCCTACACCCACATGTAAGCGTCAAGGGCGCATTAAGGGACCTTTAGATAGTTGATCTGGCAGATCTCTTCTAATCCACRGAGAGCTTTGCCAGCTCCGTGCTGTTTGTGCCCGTGCCGATGCTCACAGGTGACTCATGCAGACTCAGGCTCACTTGTGGGCCGGAATACATCTCTGTTGGACAGAGCTGAGTGTCTAACAGCAACACTGCGACAACAACAGCAACCGGTTTGCTCAAGGCCACGTTACGGCCAGCGCTGACCGCAAAGCCACAGGGGCAGGGAGAGCCGGGCGGGAACTCGCTCGCTGGGCTCTGTGTGGGGCTCCGCGCTGCTCTGGGGACGGCGGGAGCAGTTCGTGCAGCAGGAGCAGCCCCTGCCCTCCGTCCCCCCCGTCCCTGCCCAGCCGGGACGCCCTGTGCTGCCCTAGGCAGCAACGCCCGTCCGCCCTGAGGAATAAAAAACTAGGGAAGGAGAAAGGAGGAAAAGCAGAAGGGCTCTCGAGGCCGCCGAGCCGAGCGCTGCGGGGCTGCGCCCGCCGCGGGGCTGGTCCCCTGCGCGGGCCGCCGCGGAGGGTCCCGCTGCCACCGCCGGAGCCCCCGCGCCCCCCGGAGCTGCCCGTCCCAGTCCCAGTCCGGAGCTGCCCGTCCCAGTCCCAGTCCCAGTCCGCGCTCGTGCCCCGCGCGGGCCCGCGGTACCTCGGCGGGCCAGGCCGGGCTGCCGGGCTCCCGCGCAGCGCTCGCCGAGCGCCGGGTCCGCGCGGGCCTTTTGGGCCGCCCCTCGTGGCGGCGCGCCCGGATGCGCGGGGGCGGAGCGGGGCGGCGGGGCAGGAGGCGGGGCGGCCGCGGTACCCGCGTGGCCGCCGCGGGGCGGCCCGCGGGGCGGGAGGAGGCGCGGGAGGAGGCGGTGACAGCGGGCGATGCCCAACGCCGTTTGAAAACGTGGCCCGGGACGCGGGGTTGGCGCCGGGATCCTGCGGCTGCCGCGGCCTCCTTGCCGGGCTGCTGTGCGCGCCGCCTTGCAGTCACGCCGATGCCAGGGTGCAACGAGCGCGCCCTTATCTGCAGCTGTGCAGCTAAGCAAGCGCTCACGAGGCACCAGATCCCGCACAATAAAGGACGTTGCACGGTCATCACCAGCCTAGGGGGCTGTGGGCAGCTTCAGCACCCGGGCGTGTGATCCGATAACCTCCAGAGCCACGTCCAGAGCGCTGCGCCTGCTCTCCAGGGAAAAGGATGGGTCTGCGGGGGGAAGGCGGGAGCAGMGGGTGCCCCGGGGCCGGGGAGAGGCCGGGGCTGCCCCGCGGCCTCAGCAAAGAGCGAGCGAGCGGGCGAGCGAGCGCGGGGCCTTGCAGGCCGCTCCGCTGCCCAAGGAAGAGCGTTTCTTGCTTCCATGCACGTTCTACCTAAAGCAGTGCTGAAAGAGGCCGCGAGTGCCCGCTGTGACGTGCACAGCCTTGGGTCAAAGTCCAGACTCGTACCTGCAGTGAAGACTTGCCTCAAGAGCTGCTCACAGCAAATAAATTGTCAAATAAGGGAGTTTTTAAAGTATTACTGCACTAATACAGCAAATCCAGGAGGCTGATGATAGCCAAGCTGAGATACTGATCAAATTTGGCTTTGGCAACTGCCTTTTTTTTTTTTTTTTTTTTTTTTTGTATTGCTTTAAATCATGGTTCATTTAAAAATAAAAATTAAAAATATGTTGAAAGTTTTAAATAAGGCTTGTGCTTCCTAGAGTACTTTCAAATTAATTCGAATTAATTTTATTAATTCAAATTAATAGCATTTAATGTTGAGACTAAGCCTAGGATCGGCGTAGGAGGCTAGAAATAGCGAGAGTGGCTGCTTCYCGACGCTTCCCAAAGCTCTCCTCCTGGACAAGCAGTAGAACTCGCTGGATATCTTCAAAACTGCCCTGAATGTAAAGAGACCCTCTGTAAGACTGTCGGGTGGGAGGTACTATAGCTGTTTTATTGTTATTCTCAATTCCGGTTTAGAGGTGGAACTATCCCTTGTGTATCAGTTAAGAAYATT